TCTTTATAGTATGATTTTTTTCTCAACTATTCAAACATTCTTTTCTTATTTTGTCATTTTTCCTATCTCACTTCAAATATCAGATGTACAAAAATAACTAAGTGTTTTATGATCATATATAATATTAATTAATTATGTTATAATTTTTGTTAATTTTTTTTAATTAGGTCAATTTGTCTCAATATATAAGTCACATTGAGCCAAAAAATGATAATAAAAAAAGGTCAGAACTCATAATAGCTTAGATTAAATTACATTTGACTCATGCAAGTCAGACTTAATCTGTTTGACACTTCTATAAATAGTATATATATTTTATCTTATAGTAATAGGCACCATATAGATATGGTGGAAAACATCAAAAAAGGTAAAATCAAAAGAATTTTTTTTACTTAAATATATTTTTAGGAGTGAGTTTTAATTTAAATATTATTATTATTATTTTATTTTTAAAATTTATAAATATTTTTGTTTACATAAACTGAGTAAATTTTGATTTCAGTATATCTGCAAAATATATTTTTTTCCTTTGTTCTCCTAAAATCTGTTATCATTATTTTTTGTCTTAAACAATTAATTTAACATAAATAAATAAACAACCTTTATTTTAAAAAATTATTAAAATAAAAAATATATCGTACATTAACATAATACCACAATTAGTTGTGAGTTATAATCATCACTTAACATTATAACAAACAAAAAAGTAGTTAAGAAGAATGACATAATTTCAAATTTTATATGAATGAAAAATAAAATATACAAAAATTACATAAACGAAAATCAAACTTACATATCTTGTGGAAATAAAAATATATTTAAACTAATTTTTAATATAATATTATTTATTTGTTTTTAAAAAATTAAAATCAAACTAATCTAAAATATTTAATATTTATTATTCTAAATGTTATTGTCATCTGTTAAAATTAGAGTTAACTATTAATATATTTGATTTAAACTTTTTTTATATACTTTAAATATTAAAGAACTTATAAAATTATATTTTAATTTTAAATTATAATATTATAAAATTTATGTTTCTTCAATATTATTTAATTATTGTTATAATTTTTTTAATAGGATTGGACCATATGCATATAGTTCAATCATAAATGAACTTTTAAACAAATATTTTTACCAGAGTCTAGTTTTTAAAATATTAGTAAAATTACATATTTTAACTAACATTTTAAAATAAATAATCTCTATTTTATAAAGTTAAAATTCTTTAAAAAAATATTTAAATTAAAAAGTATATTGTGGATCACTACTAAAGACAAAATCACTAAAGTAACACGCCTAAAATAATAACTTTCCTTTTCTAGTTTAGAAACTCATTCATTTCTTAATTATTTAAATAAAATATTAAATACTCATTCATTAATTTTTTTGTTTCTTAATTAGTCGGTGTTTCATGGGAGTTTCCCAACACGGAGTTTTTAAAAAATTGGACTCGGGATAATTAAATCAAGTAATAGTAATACAATATTTTAGAGGACAAAGAGTTATAAATTAAGAGACAGCAACTCACATTATTTAATGAAAAGAAACTTTAGATATATATTTTTTAAAATATTTAAACTTATTATACATTGTGTGTGTTCCATCACATAATATCTTGTTTGCTCTTATTTTTATAAGCATTATCTTCTTTTTTTAATTGTAGAGTTTTTAATACAGTTTTATTTTTATTTATTTGTTGTTTTAAAATTTTAAGACAAACATTATTTATTAATTTTTTTAAAATATATTTTAATATTTTATTTAAATTTTAATTAATTTATATATTGACAATTGATACATTTTTCTTATAAAATAAAAATAAAAACATCTAATTTATATTATGAGAAAATATAGCGTTTCTTAATTTATGCATAAAAATGTGAAAAGATGATTAAAAAGGAAAGGAAGCAGTAATATATATTTTTATTGTCAACAAGAGAAATGGCCCAATAAACAAAATGTTATCACCATAAATGCAGAAGATAGCTAGATTAGTGTTTTGGAAATTATGTATTGCGAATCATGCAAAGTGGTAAATTGAAATATTTTATTAGTTTTATTGATTTAACTCGTGAAGAGTTATTATTTTGCGGCATAGCAGAATTATAGCGGTAACTTAGAGTCCCTGAAACACATGAGATCAAGAATCATGGCCGATAAGCTGTCGTGAGAGGAACCCCCTTCCTGAAGAGCCTCTTTAGCCTTTTCTCCAAACTCTTTTGCACGACGTCTGATGTTGAGAGCTTCATCACCGCCGTCCATCAACCTCCTCACCGCTCTCTCAATGCAATCTCTACCGATCAGCTTCTCCCTCTCCCCATAACCAACCACTCTCCATTCTGTGGCACCCACCTCCACCCCGATTCCCCTCACCTCACTCACAAGCTTCTCATTGTAGAACTGATCCCCTTGCACCGGCCACGTAATCATCGGAACTCCAGCGGTCACGCCCTCCAACGTGGAGTTCCAACCGCAGTGGGTGAGAAAAGCAGCCACCGCAGCGTGGCCAAGAATAAGCAGCTGAGGGGCCCACCCCCTTATAATCAAACCCTTCTCCTTATTTCTCTCCTCAAACCCTTTGGGAAGCCACTTTTCCTTCTCCTCTTCTTTATCACATTCCTCTCCCTTCTTCTCTGGCACAACCCATATGAATGCATGGCCTGCTTGCTCCAACCCGCACGCCATCTCGTAAAGCTGTTTATCCGGAAAACGACACACGCTCCCGAAGCATATGTAAACAACTGACTTGGGTGGCTTGGAGTCAAGCCAACTGAGACACTCGTTCTCGCTCACCACGCTCTCTTCAATAGTTCTGGGAGCGAGACAAGCTGGACCAATAAGCCAAGCCTTGTGACCCGTTGTTTTCTCGTAGTGTTGGATGTACTCTTCTCCTTCAAGCTCCGCGAAGTTGTTCACAATGAGGCCGTAGCTCTTCAGCTCTACATCCAGGTGGTGGTCAAAGAAATCGAGGGAATGCTTCGGTGGTCTAGCGCGCATGGTGATATGGTGAGGAAAATGGGGAATGACGAAGGGAGCCGTGTGGGAGGGAAGTACTGAGGGGTTTGCTTTCACGGAGTCCATAGCGGCCACGGTGAAGAGGGGAAATCCGTTGAAGGCGAGTCTTGGGATGCCGAGGTTGTTTGCCACGTCATCCATCCAGGGGTAGGAGAAGTCAGCGACGATGAAATCGGGTGGGTGGTGCTCCAGGAAATGGGTGATGGGTCCGCGGAGCAGCGTGGTGGCTGTGTAGAACTTAGCGGTGTTGGCGAGGCTGTTGACGGCGTACATGGTTTCGACGCCGTCGGGGAGGCCGACTTCTTTGCCGGGGAAGTGGATCGTGTGGAGGTGGAGGGAGGGGCTGGATTCGCGTAGGATTTGGGCGTTTGAGGGAGTTGTGATCACTGTCACGTGATGGCCGCGTGAGGCGATGAGGGTGGCTATGGCGCATAGAGGGACGAAATGCCCCGGTGCTAGGTATGGAATGAAGTGAAGTTTCAGTGGCCTTTGTTCAGCATCCATTGCACTGACTAACACGCTGAGTTCAACCAAAGATTGAAGACGAGCAAAGAATATAAACTGTCGTGTCTGAACATGCCGACAAGGTACGAGTTAAAGTACCAGATTCGCTGGACAAATATTAGAGGTGTGTTTGGATATCATTGGAGTAACAAAAGTTTTGCCCTTTTCAATGCAATATCGAGATGTGTGTTTGTTTTATGGATAGAAAAATTCTGAAATATATTCCGAACCTTTAAAAAAAAAGTTTTAATTATAAAATATTAAATTATATAATTATTTTATATGAAATTTATTTTAAAATATTAATATTTTAAAATCCGGACGCTGTTTCGGTTCATTTTTGGGAATGTGTAGACTTTTAATGTTGTACACTTCCTCCACATTTGCACTCACTAGATTCGGTTGTCAATGGTGTCGGTGTAACATCTCATTTTTTATAAAATATAATATAAGTATTTTATTAATAATTTTAATATTTTATTTTATTAATAAAAGTTATTAAATATTTATTTATTTATTTAATATATTTGAAATATAATATAAGATATTTTAATTAATAGTTTTATTTTAATATTATATTTAATTAATTGAAGGGAAATGAATCAGTAACGGTGATTAAATATTTTAACTATAAAATTAAGTTAGGTTTTTAAAAAAGTATTTTGCTCTAATCAGTTTTACACAATCTTATTTTTCACGCACACATTTATGTCTCAAAGCTTGGAGAACTTAAAGGAGAAGGAAACCACCTTGAAGTCTTGCATTGTCTTCTAGTGCTTATCCAAATAAGGGAAGATTGAAAAATCTTGCTCTCACTGTGAATTTGTATGTGAAGTTGTTTGATTGATCCCAATCTTGTATATGTTGTATGTCTATGTATGACGAATTTTTCCAAATGTGCTTTTTTTTCCTCTTGTTCTTCTTACACATAACTAATGACATGAATTGTTTGAATGATTAATCAATTATATACTTTGGATTGTAATTGTAACACATGAAGTCCTTATGTGTTCCCATGGAGAACCTCAAGGAAACTTGTTGTGATGATAGTGTAAAGATATTGGTTGCATGTGTAAATTGAATAATATGAAATGTTAATTGTATGTTATATAACATATTTAATAATTAAATTATGTATTTTGGTAATTTGAAATGTGACTCGTAATTTTGTATTTTTTATTGTGAGTATTGTTTTTTATACGTTGTCAAATGCATCTTGAGATGTATCGGACATTGTCAAGGCTGAGAGCAAAGTTTACTTTTAGAATTTCTCATACCAAACGTGGAATGACCCTCGTTGAGTGTGGGATGACCTTAATTTACGCAAAAGCTCTAGAAATTCCTCATGACGCCTTCACCATTGCTATTGTGGTCATCACAACCACAGTCGACGCGACTACAACCATTGCCTTCCCTCTTAACTCCACCCGAATCTCACTCATGGTTGTTACAATTACATTTAAAGTCACCACCACCGTACCAATATTTTTACTATCCCCTGGAAAAATCTTACCTCTCTTATTTGTCCAACCAAACATAACATACCTCTCAAATCCCAACCACCACAACAATTTTCACTACTTTACAACCAGACATGACCAACCCTCACAGTTATCCCCAATTCCCTTCCTCACCAACAAACCAGATTTAGTAATCATGGATACTAAGAGCCTGTTTGTATACAAGCTTAGAAACACTTTTAAGAGTTCATCTACTGAAATACTTTTTACTTTCAGTAGAGAAGCTCTCAAAAGCACTTATAGGTTGTATCAAAATAAGCTCTGGATTGTTGGTGCTGCCACGATAAACACATCTAAATGGTCACCATAGTCTTCAACAATAACAACCCAAGAATCAACGAAGAAGAAACTAGTATCTACAACTACTCTAGTGGAAAAGTCATTATCGATGACAGTGAGCAAGACATTGGTCGCATCACATTGTCTACTGAAGAAATAGTCATAAATGGCACAAAAACTATTGTCAGAGGAGTTTCAACATTACTGTAATCATTGTCCTTTTATCCAAATGCTTCTGCGTTGTCATCATCATTTACCTTAGTCACAAATGAATCACTGGGAGTGTTAGGGGCTAAGGTTAATTCATGTTCTCAAATGTATCATCGTTGGGATAATGAGGCTAGTCAAGATTCCTCTTTTCATTGCAATTGCTATAGTAAAGAGTCCCTATCTGTTGTTCAAGGGCTGATTCAGACTTTTGCATGATTTGATTAGCAAAGAAGGTCCATTCCTTGAAACAAATTGTGTCCCCATTGTTGGTTTGACAATAATTCTTTGGCCACTAGTTGTCATTGCTAGCATTTTATTGGCTATTTTGTCAAGCATTTTTGTTGGACAATTGTTTGTGCTAATTGTTGTGGGTGGTGCAACAAAAACACTAGCATTTGGTGCTAAAGCCAAGAAGTTATGTGCTGCACGTGTATTCTAAGGACCTTGAAGACAAGGTCCAAGTGAAGTGGAATGGAATGATAGGATGAGCCTTACAAGGTCCAAGAGAATGAAATTAAACCAAGTGGATTAATATGATGACATTAAAATATTATATACTTTATATTTTAATTTTCTAATTAATAAATGATAACACTCGAAAGATTATCTTTACATATATTGGATTATAAATAATATATTCCCTAAGCTTTTGAAAAAAATGAATAAAAAATATCAATATTAATTTTATCTTCTCTATAATTTTCTTGAAATCCTTTAATAATATATTCTAATAGTAGTGATAATATAGTTATTAGCCTTCTTAACCTTATTTACATGCTAAAGCACAAAAGAAAGATTTACTAACATTTGAATATAGATCAGGTTTTGCAATACTTTGCACCACTGCAATAATATTTTTGTCTTTTTAATTTTTATTTTATTTTCTTATACTTTATAATATGACTACTTATAGTGGCGGGAAAATTCTAATATGGAAACATGTGACGAAACAAATAAAGGAAATACAAGTTTGAATTAAATAGGTTCAATTTGTTGACATCTTACTTGAAATGGTTATAAAGAGGGTTGAAGGCAGCAAAAATTCCCAGGAATTTGAACATATAGTATAGAATTGGTATCTAGTTTATTTTAATTCCAAGTTGCATTAACCATGCAAACTTTTATTATGTAGAGAATTTACATGCTTTGATTGGTAGAACTATGGATGACCATGATACGAGAAAGCACTTCAATTTTCGAAAATTGACCCGTTACATGCTTTGGCTAGTTTCTATTGAAATCGCATAATAACCATTTTATCCTTCTTCTGAATAAGGTGACTTTTACACTTTTAAGTTCTAGAGTCCCTCTATGGTTGTAAAAGTGAAGTTATTGAGCTTGGATTCTTAAGATTTAAGACTGAAATAGGTTACCTTTCTCATTGTTATTATTTTTTTCATAGTTTATGTTATGTATTTAATTCTAAAATTTGACTTTATGTAGAATATGGGCCATTTGTTTTTTTTTTTTCTTAAAAAGAAAAGACACCATTTAATTCAAAGATATGTTAAAAAATTACAATAATTAGGTAATATTTCAGAAAAAAAAATAAATTATCATGCATATTCTTGACATTTATTGACATGGATGAAGGGTCTTCTTTTAATTTATTACAATAATCTTCCTGATCCTGTTATATATTAAATCCTATGATCATTATGGTTTGCTATATTTTTCAATCACCACTTTTTGGTTATTTGAAACATGTTATCCTTCTCGAATTTCAAATCATATAACATACTACTGTTGTAATCTAAGTTTCTTTTGTTACTACCTGTTAGAATTAAACTTGGAACAATAGAACAATTTTTTTATTTAAGAAAAAAAAGCATTAAAACTTTGTAGTTTCAAAGTCAGTTTGAGTAGAATTTTTTAAAAGCACTCTTCGAAAAATATGAAAGAAAAATAAAATAAATTTTTTAATACATTAAAATTAGTTTATTCTTATGCTAATTTATATAAATTCATTGTTATTAGTTTCTCTTAATTCTTATTATTATTTTATATATAAGTTAATTTTAACTAATAATGAATGTAATTTTCATCTTTCTTTTTATTTTATAAGTGATTCTCAAGAAATTTATCCAAACATATCATTAATAATATAACTTCATTTAAGAAGCTACTTTTTTAAATTTGTGAGAAAAACATTAAAATTGTATTTATGAGGACTCTATCTAATTTATGAAAAGAGAATTAAAAAAAAATCTTACATTGTCACAATTATTTATTTAATACTAATAATAAAAGAGATATCTTATTTTAGTGTTCACAATTTTTGACAATTTTGTCTTTATAATTTTTATATCATATCACATTTTACCTTTAATAATTATGCAAAAACCCACTTAAATATTCTTATTATTAACCACCAATTACTATTTAATTTAATTATTTTTATTTTGTTTTAAAATGTACATAATGTTTTTTTACGCTAATATATTATAAAATATGTTGTTTGATTTTTTATATTAAATTATTTTTAAATTATTTATCTAATTAGAAAGGATCTTTATTTTTCTTTATAAAATATTAGTGCCTTTTTACAGGGGTAATTTTTTTTCATTTTTATTTTTGTTTTTCTTATAAAAGACAAACATCACTTAAGGTGTGTTTGAAAACTCGTTTACATCAATACAAATAAAAATTCACACATGTTTATCCACTTAACTAAAAAACAAAATTTTTTGTCTTTTTGGATTTTATTGATTTTGAATGATAAATCAAACATCTACTTATTCGTTGCAAGTTTAATAATTTATCAATAATATGATTACTCTATGAATTAGTGTGCTAGACCTGAATTACGTGTAGCCAAGATGTGCATGGAAACAGATTAAGATGTGCTACTCTGCTCTATTACAATTATAATTAAGATTTGTTGCAGTGTTTGCGTTGCTTGAAGAATTTCTCTAATTTTATTTGGAAAATTTGATTTGTAAATCTCTTTAAATACCTTCATGGTGTGTTTGGATGAGAAATTTTACAAATTCAAGGAATTTTAAATTCTTGGTATTTGAATTACTTTGATTTTAATTTCTATTATTCTTAAAATATTTTGTTTGGATAAGACAATTCAAATTTCTCAAATTTTAAATTGTTAAGTTAGATATCATAATTTGATTCCACCATGGTAAAAATAATTTTAAAAATATATTTATTTGTTGAGATTTTTAAATTAAATTTTATAAAAATAAATATTAGTTAATTTTTAAATATATAATAATTTTAAAAATTATTAGATAATATTTAATAATTTTAAAAATATTTTTGAATATTCAATAATTAAAAATATGAAGATAAAATATATAAGTGAAATAAGAAAAAAAATATAAAATTTTTTAAATTCATACCTTTTTTTGGAGAATTTAAAATTCTATTATTTCAAGGAATTTCACAAATGCAAATTTCTTATAAATTCTCCATCTAAACAAAATATTTCACTTCAAAAAATTTAAAATTTTTTAAATAAATGAATACTCTATTTAAATTCTCAATCCAAACACACTATCAATGATTTTGGTTACATGCAAGTCTGTGTAAGATTTGAAATTTCAAATGTGTTGCATACAGTTGATGTCTCTTTTGTTATCATTATAAGTGATTTAGACCAAATGGATCACCCTTAATCCATCTAAGGATCTGTATCATAGTTGTGTTAGGCAATTTACAGAATAAATGCATCGGATATGCGTATTTGAGGCTCGACTGTTTCAAGCCTTAAGTGTATAATGGGGCTTTCTTTGGTTGAGGTTACGTTTCGAAGCTAAAAAGAGAAAAAGCAGTGATTTATTCGCAAATTTAAAGTTTAAAAGTTAATCTAATCACTCTAAACCAGAAAAAAAAAATGAGTTTAGGATACAAGTTTTGCATATTATGCAGAATGCATATCGCTTGCTGCATAGTTATAACTTATCTTTAAGCCAATGTTGACCTAGTTAATGTTTCTATGCATTATATGACCAATCCAAATGAGACAAACCGGAAGTGATGGGATGGTGTTTAAATTATGCAACAAAATACTTGATTTAAGTTCAAATAGAAGCATATGAGGCTAATGAAAGCCAAATCTGTCCAAGTGTCCCGAATCTTTCGAGAACTCAGTTTTAGAACATTCATGTATGTCAATAGAGATATACAATATACTTGACCCTACAATTCATATACCATGTAAATAAAGAGAAAACAAAGTTGGTGAATCAAAATCCTGTTACTTAAGGTTAGGAAGTCAAATACACTAACTTGTGAATATTGCTCAAGTGCCTACCTAGCTTCTTGTCTTTTTCGAACAGTTTCCTCTGTTTGATGTGTTTAAACATGCGAGTGTCACTTATGTTGTTTATCTTTAATTTGATTTTGAACAGGCTGGCTTTAGCACCACAGTTTCTGAGACTCTGAAAAACCACCAGCCTTATGTCCCTCCCCCAAACTCTCCTTATCACTCCAGCCCTAGGTCCTTCTTTCAAACTACCTCACCAACCTTATAATTCCTAAATTTACGCAGAAATAAATTCCAATGATAGTCGTTTGACCACACCTTTCTTGCATAAGACCTCAATCAACAACTTTCAAGTTTCTAAGACTTCATACAGTCTCATATTTCACACCTGCTCACTACTAGATTAATTTTAGTCCTTTAGCAGCATTTTCTTGTTTATATTTATTAAAATATTACTATATATTCATAAATATGTTATTTTGTAACATTTTTTTGAAAAATGTCATTATAGATAAAGTAACATTTTTTATTTCAATATTATTCTTTCTAATTGTTTTCAAAATCAAAATCTCATATCGAGTAAAAAAAAATTACATAAGCTATTTTACAACATTTTTTTGAAAAATGTTACTATAATCACTTTTAAAATCAAAGTCTCACATCGAGTCAAAAAAAGTATATTTCTCTTGTATCTAATTGTAACTCATAATTAAAGTCTCACATCGAATAGATTAATGACTCATAAAGAGTATATATACTCATATAGTTATATTTAAGATAAATGAAATTTGATATTCTATATATATAACTAGTAGTGACTAACTAAAAATGTCTTTCTCTAAAAACTTAAGAATTCCTAAAAGTTTAGGAGACATAAAAATATAATAATTGATAGTAATATTTAAATTAAAATTAATTATTATTTTATAAAGTCAACAAAATATTGACAACATCATTAAAATGTTACAAAAAATTATTAAAATGTTACAAAAAATACTATTTTGATAACATTTAAAAAATGTTACCTAATTATACAAAAATGTTATTAAAAATCTTTAGTAATATAGATTATATACAATATTTGATAATATGTTGTTAAAACAAATTAGCAACATTATACATAATTAAGTAACATTTTTCAAATGTTGCTAAATACTATTTATGTTATAGTGGCAACTGCGATTATAATTTATACACTTGGCTTATTGCATATCATAACTTGAACCGATTGTAATTTTGACTTGCCGAGTTCCTTATTCTAAGCTTATTGACATTTTAAATATAGTTCTGAAGAGTCTACAAATTATTTTCTTCCTTAAATTAGTGTATGTCAAAATGAGCATCGTAATGCATACTGCATAGCTACAAAAAAGTTCTTTTTCATATATATACGATGAGGGTTATAATTACACAAGTGTAACTTTTTACTAAGTATTATACCGGTCAATAACTTTTTATTAAATATAAATTTTAAAAATTTAGTCGTTAGATTAAAAGTTCATATCACTTTATATGTGCACATCAAATTTTGTTAAAATTGAACAACAATTTGAAGGTAATCAAAGTATTTATATTTTAATATATTTTAAAATGAGTATATTACATCAATTTTATTTTATAAGAATGAAGTATCAAATTATCTTGAATTAATATAAAATTTAATATATATGATCTAAAAGTAAAAAACTTTAAATTTAACGGTTAAATTTTTAAAATTCATATTTAATATAAAATTATTGAGCGGTATAATCCTTAGTAAAAGTTACACAGATATTATTATTATTATTATTATTATTATTATTATATATATATATATATATAATGTATAAATGATAAATCAGCTACTATAATATTTTAAGTGGTCAATTATTAATGGTAATGAGTTTGACAAAGTCGAATCGATACACACAATAAGAGAAATCTCAAGACTCAAACATACATACTTTGATTGCTTTGAAGAAAACTAAGAAGGCGAAATGGGGTGCAGAAAGGAAAATTAGAAGAAATGAAATAACATAGAGTAATGGTGAGAGTGAGAGCGTCAGAATGAATGAAGTGAGTTAATCTTGGAGTCCCTCAGCCGCAGGAGATGAGCAATGAGGGCCGATAAGCTGTCGTGAGAGGAACCCCCTTCCTGAAGAGCCTCTTTAGCCTTTTCTCCAAACTCTTTTGCACGACGTCTGATGTTGAGAGCTTCCTCACCGCCGTCCATCAACCTCCTCACCGCTCTCTCAATGCAATCTCTACCGATCAGCTTCTCCCTCTCCCCATAACCAACCACTCTCCATTCTGTGGCACCCACCTCCACCCCGATTCCCCTCACCTCACTCACAAGCTTCTCATTGTAGAACTGATCCCCTTGCACCGGCCACGTAATCATCGGAACTCCAGCAGTCACGGCCTCCAACGTGGAGTTCCAACCGCAGTGGGTGAGAAAAGCAGCCACCGCAGCGTGGCCAAGAATAAGCAGCTGCGGGGCCCACCCCCTAATAATCAAACCCTTCTCCTTATTTCTCTCCTCAAACCCTTTGGGAAGCCACATTTCCTTCTCCTCTTCTTTATCACATTCCTCTCCCTTCTTCTCTGGCACTACCCATATGAATGCATGGCCTGCTTGCTCCAACCCGCACGCCATCTCGTAAAGCTGTTTATCCGGAAAACGACACATGCTCCCGAAGCATATGTAAACAACTGACTGAGGTGGCTTGGAGTCAAGCCAACTGAGACACTCGTTCTCGCTCACCACGCTCTTCTCCGCCCTCTCTTCACCGCTTCTGGGAGCCAGGCAAGCTGGCCCAACATGCCAAGCTTTGTGACCGGTTCTTTTCTGGTAGTGCTCCAGGTACTCTTCTCCGTCGAGTTCCGCGAAGCTGTTCACGATGAGGCCGTGGCTCTTCAGCTCTATCCCCAGTAACTGGTCCATGAAGCCGGTGGCGATCTTCGGTGGTGGCGCGCACATGGTGATATGGTGAGGAAAATCGGGAATGACGAAGGGAGCCGCGTCGGAGGGAAGCAGTGCGGGGTTTGCTTTGACGGACTCCATGGCTGCAACGGTGAAGAGGGAGAATCCGTTGAAGGCTAGTCTGGGGATGTTGAGGTTGTTGGCCACGTCATCCATCCAGGGGTACATGAAGTCGGCGACGATGCAATCGGGTGGTTGCTGCTCCAGGATACGGGCGATGGGTCCGCGGAGCAGCATGGCGGCTCTGTAGAAGTTTGCGGCCTTGTTGAAGTCGTCGACTTTGGACATGATTTCGACGCCGTGGGCGAGGCCCGCTTCTCGGGCGGGAAAATCGACGGTGTGGAGGTGGAGGGAGGGGTTGGATTTGGCAAGTAATTGGGCGTTGGAGGGAGTGGTGATGACCCTCACGTGGTGGCCGCGTGATGCCAAGAGCGTGGCTAGGCCGCAGAGTGGGATCAAATGGCCTGGTGCTAGGAATGGAATGAAGTCAAGTTTCAGTCGATTTCGATTTGGATTTGGATCCATTGCCAGACTAACTTTTTACTCTACTTTCTAACTCAAGCCTTCACACTTGAACATGGACCAGAGATTTTATATATGAAGAATCCAACGTCATAGTCAAAGTATGGTGCAAGGCACTCGAGGCCTTTTTTGTTTTCTTAAGCTACACGAGGCGCTTTTCTTCTCCTCCTTCTTCTTCTTCTTTTTTTTTTTTTTTCCCCGAGACACACGAGGCTTGTTATTATATACTAGCAGGAAAAACGTAAAATAAATGAATGTTTCTAAAAAAAAAAAAAAAAAAGATAATTATTTTTTTTAAGGAGGACAATATATATATATATATATATATATATATATATATATATATATATATATATATATATATATATATCTTTAAATATAAATTAATAAAAAAAAGTACAATATAAAAATATAATTCTTTAAAAATGTGAATAAAAAAAGTATTTTCTTTTTATATATTGTGATGCATACTTTAATTAAACATGATGAAACAGGTGTATATCAATTTTCATCCTCTTCTTTCTGTCTCTCTTTTTACTTTGTTTATTGACTGATGTAGTTGCTGCAAGGGTTAGGGTGGAGCGCGTGATCAGATCAGTTTAATAAAATTCCATTTTTCGTGTTAAGTGACTTGTTAACTGCAATTTTCTTTTTTTTTGGAAAAAAGGTTGAGAAAGCTTCTCTTGCAAATGGACAAGGAAGATGAATGAGGCATACGTGTGTGGTTTCACCTCAATCGTCTTGTATGAAAATGGGATGAGAGAAAATTAGAGAGGAGTGGCGCATGCAAGTTGCAATATTTGTGGTGTGTGTACCTACAAAAAGCTAAATAATTTGGGCAGAAAAAGCGCAAAAGGTAATGTGCGCTCAAGCCCACTTAACGAACCAATGACTAATGTTTGTGGAATTTGAATGTGAAAGATGGAGTCTCTTTAAATGTGTAAGACACACTTTAATATATAAGGACTCGTGTTTTACTAATTTTAAGTAATGAGACGCTTCATTATCTTGAAATACTCACATATATAAAACAAAATCTTGTAAAAGGATAAAGTGGGTACAATTGGAATATGAAGGTGTAGGTGTGCTAATCTAGCAATGAATGAAACTACCATTGAAAATGATAGCTGATGATGCTTAATTCTTATCATTAAACCTTGAGACTTGGAAATGCAATATCTTAGGAAATATTATATCCGTAACGTGAAGGTTATATACCTGATTATCACAATCGAGAATTCATGGGACATTATCCTATAGAGATATTTTGTTAGTAGTTGAGAATTAATCACTTAAGGTTTTACTACATAGTAGTGGGCCAAAGGCCCAACATGGACGGGCAGAAGACTAGTCGGGTGACTCGGGCCAAAGGCCCAACTGAGATTGGCTTAGCCTACCTCAGTTGGACGGTACAATGATAAATAATACCACATTTTTCTTAACTAATTGGTTGTACAAATAACAAAAATCATGGTATACTAAATTTATTAGTATAATTAATGAAATTAGATGACACAAGCAATAATGATTTCTATTCCTTAATCAAAATGTCTATGGTTCGGATTATGATGTTGAATATAAAATAAATTACGTTAAAAACATGAACTCACTCGATTGATTACGGTGAATGTTGTAAATTAGTATTATTAAATCACTCATGTGTATTAAATATGAAGAATTATTTTGTGTGAGAGCATTCGTAGAGTTTTTATTAAAGAGAGCACTTTTTTTTTCAATGAAAAAGTTTTTAGATTTTTTAACTTTTTTATTTATTTCAATTTATATGTACCATATATATTTCTAAATTAAATTGAATGACTTTAAAACAAATTATATTAATAATAGTGTTGCAATATAGATTATTTTTTAATATAAATATAAAATATAACTAGTATTTTACTTTGTATAATTCATAGACATTTTATTATATATAATATAATTAAAATTTATAATAAATTATGCATATAATAGTATATTTGAATATATATATATATATATACACATTATATTTAAAATTAATATACATAAATATTTTAAAACATGTAAATTATATTTTATATTTATGATAAATAATTCGTATTGTAAAAAAAATATTTTTATTTATTGATAAATTATTTTAAAATATTAATATTTAATTCATAATAATTATGATAAATAAAGATTGAATTAGATAAGAAGTTAAAAAAAATATAAACTTTCTCATTGAAGAAAAACTCCAAAAAATATTTCCATACAAGATAAAAATTTGTGTCTAATATATTGGGATTGATTTATATATTAAATTATATGATGTTTTATATTTATAATTTTCTCAATATATAATAAAAACATATAAGCTAAAAATATAAGTTAACTTGAAATTTAAACCTTTTTTATATAAATAAATATTTATTTCATCCAATGAATAATTTTTTAACTAATTTTTCTCCTCTTTTCAACTGTATACATCACTCTTACTGTGAAAAAATCTATAATATTACCATTATTAGCCAATTGAAAGGAGAGGTGAAAATGGAGTGTATTAAGCTAAGTTTTACAAATCTGAATTAAACTTATTCATGTGATATATTTCATTTTTAAAACTTATCTAAACTTTTTAACGAGTTTACAAATAAATTCAAACATACATAAAATATAACTTACAGAAGGATTTTATTTTACAAATTTTTTAATAAAAAAATATTTAAGAAATAAGGGTGAACTTATCTAAACTTGATTATCTAAATATAGTATAGGCGTAAGAATTGGGAGGATTACTAATGTGGTTTTGAGACTGGGTGCAATGGTATATGAAGTAGTATTAGATTTTGATGAAATAATTGAAATGAATAGTAATAGAGAATAGATGAGAAAAGTGGGTGGGGGGAGGATAGAGGATAGAGGATAGAGGATAGAGGATTCCGTAACGTAATGGGCAATGTGGGTGGGGGGGGAAAACCAAAGCGCACCGCAGGCAGGAGTAGCACTAGCACCGCACCTAAGCCCACGAATGGTAACCCAATGAGCAGCGTCCAGGTCAGAGGTGAGAAGTGGGTGCGCGTGCGATGTGAGCGCGGCGCACGTTAGCTCCTTCCCCCACCAAATCGGTGGTGCCCTCCTCGTCCTATCCTGTCCACATCTCAAAACCAGCCGCACACCACCACCACCCACTATGTTACCATTCCCTCATTCTCAACACTCTCCTCTTCCATGGCCTCCCCCTCCACCACCCCTCCCCCGGACCCGCCCTCCGCCGTCCCCCTCGCCCTCCCAGTCCCTCTCCCCCTCCCCCT